AAATTAGTAGCTCATCCCTGTTATAAATTACGGAGTTGGTATTCTGGGTTCTATCCCCTTCTTTTGCCCAGGCAGAACCTAAACCACATCCAGGGAATGTAATTGGCTCACAACTATGGTTTTAGATCTGTGAATCTGAAAACCAGGCCTTGGACTCTGGCAAAGCTCGGGTCCCACCCCGCCAGGGCCCTTTCTGCAGAGGTCGAGGTCTGGTGGGACCTGCCCCCCAGGGCCCTGTCTGCAGAGGGTGGGTGGGGGGCCTGCTGCGACCTGCCTCCCTAGGGCCCTGTCTTCAAAGGGTGGGGGCCTGCTGGGACCTGCCCCCACAGGGTGCTGTCTACAAAGGGTGGGGCCTGGTGGGACCTGCCCTACCCCCCACCCCAGGGCCCTGTCTGCAGAGAGCAGGGGCCTCCCTCTCCAGCTGCTCCGGACTCACCAGTAAGTGTCCCTGTCAGTTTTGCTGCATGTTAGTAGTTTGTCCACAACGAACCTGATCAGATATCAGAAATGTTGTTACAGATTCTGGTTTTTCTTAACCACCAGGAGTAATGGACATCCATGTCTGAATTGTGTTGGCAACATAAAGCTTAACAGATCCCTGTGGATTTGCTGTATAGATGCATCATAACTCCTGGACAAGTCTAACCTGGACTCCCAGACTCTGGTCACTCACAAGTCCTCCCATCCCCGAGGTCCCACAGACAGCCCAGAAGCCAAGGAGGAGGCTGAGCCCCTTTCCTCCAGTCAAGCACCTGCCTCCAGACCCAACCACAGCCGGGACCAGCGGGCCTCATATTGGTGGTGCCACACCAAGCTCAGCTGCCTGGCTCCAGTGGCCAGTTGACTAGACCAGCGTTCAGCAGCTCACTGACCCTTGGCTGTATTGATTGAATTTGAACCAACTTGGATTTTTCTCTTTTGCCTTGGTTCTGGGTCAGCCTGGTGCTCTGCCATGCCCAGAATTGGACCACGAGGCTGTTTAGTTCTCCAGGGAAGCCCAAGCCAAGGGCACTACCAGAATTCCTAGAGCTTCAGCTGCAGAATTGGTAATTAGGGACCCAAGTATGGGGAAAAAGGCGAGAGAGGTAGAAATGCCTGATCCGGTTACTGGAGGAGGGACACGTGACATACCCCGTTCAAGCCCATCCTTGGAGAGGGGAGATCCATGCTCCGACAGGTGCTGACAGTTACATCAGCAGGGGTCTGACCTCACAGCTCAATGCACACCCACACATGACCAGAAAGATTACCAGGGGCCCTGGATTCAGACGCACTGTGAATTTGTCAAAGCCAAGTGCAGAAGGCCAAGTCTGAGTGACTTACCACTTTATCTTCATTGTCATGCCTGAAATACCAGAGTCCCTGCTGAAATTCAATTAGGATTAAATTCAGGACTTCTGTCCCCTGCAGGACTAGCCTGTCTTATTATGGACAATACACTCATTTAGAGCAGCCTGAATGTTCCCCTAGCATTCCAAGAGCTGTAAATGATCTCTAAAACAGCATTTAAGAACTTCACGTATGAAAACTGCTTATTTGTAAATTCTTTAGCTGGGGACACTGCCCGGGCTGATGGACAGATCGCAGAGTACTGAGGAGCTATCCTTGCTCGCTATTTCTGGCTGGCAGGGGTTCTTTGCTTCCTACCTTCTTTAGCTACTAAAGTTTTGTATTATTGTTTCCTTTTTTGTTTTTTAAAGGCTAAGCAGACATTTTTATTTGGAACGGAAAGCTATTTTAGGTGCAGGCATTCACACAGTTCTGCCTTTGTCCTGAGTGAACTACGTGACAGAGACATGAAAACGGTTCTTCCGGGGTAGCTGGAATGTCCCTGGCTCTGTGTTCCCACAGTCGCTGTCTTGTGAAACCTGGTGGGTAGAAGCTGATGACATTTCTAGCTCCTGGAAGACCTCCTGCTGCCTGGATTGCTATCTGTGGGATTAGTGCGCCTGAAAGAAAAGTCTCAGTGCCGTGCAATGATGGGAAAGCAATTTCTTTCTTTCTTTTCTTTTTTCAACTATTGCCTGCTATTGTCAGTTCCTACGTTGGGTTTCAAAGGCCCCTGGTTGTCATCTTCTGTGGCGGGACAATGCCCACTGACCCGGGGCACTGTGGGTTCTGCCTGCTGGTGTCCCGCAGAACCTGACTGGAAACCTGCGGTTAAATCGTGTCTTAGGCTGATCCGCGACAGGTGTGCTAAAGGAGGAGCGTTGTTCTTCTGGGGCTGAATTCCAGAGCACAAACCTCTTGCCAAGGGGGTGACCTTGTGGCCCAAACTAAAAATTCCCAGGCTGGCTTTTCCCAGAAGTGGGAGGTGACCCTGATAGTCCTGGCACTTTGCCCCTCAGACTGCTGCAGAGCGCATACCTCAGACTGCTGCCAGACCCACCCCGGCTCACCTCCCCCTCCGCTCGCTCACGCTTGCTCACTCAAACACCCGGGGCTTTGCTGGAGCTAGAGCTGGAGCCCAGTGGGGCGAGGGGTACGGCAGCTGCCAGTGGGTAAGGCCACCTGGCTCTTCTCCAAGGACATGGGTGTGTGTCCTGCAGGCTCCTCTCTCCAGGGCTGGCCACAAGGTGACCACCCTGCCTTGAAAAATCCAGGCAGCGTCGTTGGCCAAGTCTAAACACTGTGTGTCAGAAGGTGGCCATTTCGGGATTGGGGATGGGGTAGAATTTGGCTGTATTTCTTGGCCATTTGGCTGAAAACAGTGGTCTAGTAGCAAAGGACACTCTGTTTTATATAAATGTATGTGTGCAGGTATCACGTCTTCAAGCCATACTCCGAAGACCTGTAGACCGAGGGTCTTACCTTCTTTTTGTGTGCCTAGGCACAGAGAGGTAACCGTATTTTGAGATATGATTGTCACAAAGTTTTTAAAAATTACCACTGATGTGTTTCATTAGTAACACTTCTGTCATTTCAGTTGGTGATGAATGTTCCTTGTTGCCGTTTTTGCAGTTTGTTGCCAATATTTATAATTGAAGGAAATGCTAAGTTTCAGGGAGAGGAGGGTGAAAATAAAGACGACATTTCCTCCCCCATTCAAGGTCATGGACCCCTGAATTCAGCTCATGACCCTGGTGGTTACGGGCCTTGTGTGGTCAACCCTGTCCACACACCCAGGGCAGCTGCCCCCAGAGAGACATTGGGGCCACTTAGAAGCTGCAAATGATGGAACACTGTTGCATTTTGGTTTACCTAAATGTGATCTTTAGAACATTTTGAATCAATTTTGAACATTTAAAAATTGGGAGAGTGATCAGGAAAGTCCAAATTGTTAGCTTCTTTTTTACAAAGCAGAATTGGGCTCGCTTTGCCCACGGGAGTGATTGGAACAGGGTATGGACACTGTCCCGAGGTGCCCACCTCTCTCCACGCTGACAGCCAGCTGGCCTTGTCCTTGCTCAGGGACGTTTGGACTTGTGATTCCAAGCTCCAGAGATTGGAGACCAGTGGCCGCCCAACTCTCCCACCCCACCTCTTGGTCTAAGGGCGTGGCCCGGGAGGCCACCTGGCACCCTGGTGAGGAAGGAGAGAGCACCCAAAGCTGGGGTGCTGTGGGGCCTGACCTGAGGGGCCCCCTGAGAGGCTGTCTGTGGAGAGCTCCCCTGGGGGGTCCCTCTGGTGTGGAGTCTGTCTCCAGGGAGGTCGTGGTTGGGGATGTTCTTCATTCGTCTTCCAAACTGTGCCCTTGGGCATGTGTGGTGTGGAGCAGGGGTTTTGTGGTTGGAAGATCTCACTTGGGGTTTGCTCACTGGTGATTAAACCACATCTGTCACCAGGAGCGTTTGTTTGTATAGGTCCTTACCCTCAACAGGGAGGGCTCGTGAAAGAGGCAGGGTCCTCCTCCCAGAGGCAGGTGAAAGCCACAGCACAAGATGCCACTGTCCCACGGCTGCTTGCTCAGAGCACGTCCCCGTGATGTGGCACAGACCACCTGAAGACAGGGCACTGCAGCAGTCTGGGAATGGCATGGCCTCATGTTGGGGCTTCTCCCCCTGCTTTGGGGGCTGCACCTGTCCCAGGAGTGCCCGCTTTGGCCTGGATTTGCTCCCCTTGAAGGAGCGTGTCCTCCAGATCCAAGTCCCCAGAAGGGTGGTGCTACGGAAGAGGTCACAGAATTCCATAGAAAGTTCTGGGGTGACTCTTGAGCTGGCCGGAGCTGCCTGTTGGGGGTGGGTGGTGGTGACCTGGCCCCCTGGGGTCTCTGTGGCCCTGGGGAGGGGACAGGAGACAATGATGAGCTAGTGCTACCTTCGGGGAGTGTGTTGTTAACCTGGCTTGGCAGGATCAGGTGATCGTGCCGTGAAAGTATGAACAGCCCCGGCCCTTCTAATTCTATTTTCTAGCCACTGACTGGGGTGGGGGCGTTCTTGGTGTTTGCAGCCAGGACAGTGGCAGAGGTTCCAGTGCCCTGGCCCAGCCTCCCTCAAACCTGCTGTGCCCGACTCCCCCACACCTGACTCCCTTGGTGGGAAGGTGTGTGCCCGCGTGGGCCTCGTGAGGTTGGGGCTCCTGGGGGCAGAGAGAACAGCACACGCAGTCCACGCACTGCCTGGTTATATTCCCGGCGGCCCTGTTCCCTGCCAGCCTCAGGAGTCAAGATGACACTTGTCTGTTGTCAGGGTGTTGATGATGAGCTAAGTCCGGAGTTCATCTCGACCTGGAAACAAGGTGTGAGCAGGCCACCAGCCCGTCTGTCCTTCTCGAAGCTGGGACAGTGGGCTGGGCTGGGTTGGTGAGAGGGGCCTGCGGCCCCGACAGGAAGTAGGGAGCAGAGAGGACACTGCTGCGTCTTGATCGGAGGCCTGAGCTCCTGGGTCAGCTTCTAACTCAACCTGGGGCCTTTGTCAGTCACCTCTTTTCTCTGTACATTGGGGTCCTGATCCCTTCTGTCTCCTGTGCACTGGGCCCCCATTCCTTTGGGGGGGGGTGGCTGTGGGCGCATCCTGAGATGAGAGATAACCCGAGTCTGTCTTTCCCTCTTTGTTCCCTAGGGCGGGAGCAATTCCACGGCCTGGGCTCTATGTACTGCCGGGGGGCGGCGGCCGTCATCCTCACCTACGACGTCAATCACCCGCAGAGCCTGGTGGAGTTGGAGGACAGGTTCCTCGGCCTGACTGAGACGGCCAGCAAGGACTGCCTCTTCGCCATCGTGGGGAACAAGGTGGACCTCACCGAGGAGGGAGCCCTGGAGAGCCCGGAGCAGGAAGGGTGCAGCCCTGGGAAGGCTGGCGGGGGCAGTGCCCCTCCCAGGGTGCCTAAGCACGTGCGGCCTGAGGACGCGGTGGCCCTTTATAAAAAGATCCTGAAGTACAAGATGCTGGACGAGAAGGACGTGCCGGCCGCTGAGCAGATGTGCTTCGAGACCAGCGCCAAAACCGGGTACAACGTGGACCTCCTGTTTGAGACCCTGTTTGACATGGTTGTGCCGACAATTTTGCGGCAGAGAGCAGAGGGGCTGTCGCAAACCGTGGATATAACCGGTTACAAGCCGCCCAAACGGACCAGATCTGAGTGCTGTGCCTGAGCTGCCCGGGCTGCTCTGAGTCGCTGTTTATGCGCATGGGAGAGGGCTGACCAGGCGAGCTGTGGTCTGAAGGACAGAAAATCAAGGGATAATTTTATAGAACAGTGCACGGAGCAGAACATCGGAGTGAAATGACAGCTAGTTATGAGGGAAGGTCAGTGTGGATGGCGTCTCCTCAGTCTCCATCGGGTGTGTTGGGAGGAGGAGAAACAGCATCATCTGCAAAAACCCATCTGTAGCGCCGCAACACCTGGCGCTTTCTCCCCGCTGCCCCGCACTGGTACTTCATGACCTGCCCCCAGTGGTCCTCGGGCCCGTGTGCACCTGCCTGTCTCAGCGCGCTCGGCTGTTACCATGTCGTGTCACTTCTGTGTTTGTTGTTGTTCTCAAATGTTTCTCTTCACTGTGAGCTGGCTTTGGTCTTCCCATTTGGTACTTGTATCTGGATGCACGATAATAGTGATTTTCACCATGTTAATTTATACAAAATCAGGAAAACTTTTTATATTGATTGCAGCAGTGTGAGCTACACATATTATTAAAGAGGATTTTGGGAAAAACCTTGGTGTTGAGACTGAACTAATTTGGACTGTATTAGTGCCTCCAGGGAACCCCTTGCTGGGGGGTGCTGGGGAGATAGCTGTGGACTTGAGATACTTCTCTCTTTCTCTAAAAGTTATGTCAAATCCTTACAAATTCCAGAATATTTATTTTTATGTTTTGTTTTAAGTTTTTAAATTTAAATTTTTTTTTTAATTTCAGAGTATTATGGGGATAGAAACATTTTGGTTACATGAATTGCTTTTGTATAGTTTGAGTCAAAGTCGTAAGTGTGTCCATCACCCAGATAGTGGGCATTGTACCCGTTAGGTGTGGATTTACCCACTCCCTCCTCCCTCCTCCCACCTGCTTGATTCCCGTTGAATTTTACTTCCATCCGTGCACGAGTGCTGATCGGTTAGTTCCAATTTAATAGTGAGTACATGCGGTGTTTGTTTTTCCATTCTTGCGATACTTCACTTAAAAGGATGGTCTCCAGTTCCATCCAGGTTGTTACAAAAGGTATTAGTTCACCATTTTTTATGGCTGGGTAGTACTCCATGGTATACACATACCACATTTATTAATCTGCTCATGTGTTTATGGGCACTTAGGTTGTTTCTACATCTTTGCGATTGTGAATTATGCTGCTATAAACATTCGAGTGCAAGTGTCTCGTTTATAAAATGTCTTTTTCCTTTAGGTACATACCCAGTAGTGAGATTGCTAGATCAGATGGTAGGTCAACTTTTAGTTGCGGTATCTCCATACTACTTTTCCATAGAGATTGTACTAGTTTGCAGTCCCACCAGCAATTCCAGAATATTTAGATTGGCCCATCTGCCTAATTTTCTTGATGGCTTCAATGCCAGTAACAGTAGCAAAGCTGACAGCTCTGGTTCTGCCGAAGGCTGTTTGGGGGCCCTTGTGGATTCTGCTGTGGATTGAGGTGCCTCAGCTGCTTTGTTGGATGATGCCAGACCAGAAGTCAGGAGGCTATAGTTTTTGTTTTCTCAGAAATATAACTGACAGCAAGCAGGCCAGACCCAGGGCTTCTTGTGGGGAAGGAAGTGCGGGAGGCAGGAGGCCGGGGTGATGGGTGTCACAGGCAGCACCTTCTTTGGGGTTGCCCATGGTTTGTTGAAGGACTATGACCCCTGGTTTCTGGGCTGCTCCAGGCCTAACTCCTCTGCTCCTGTGACCAGAGCATTTTCAGCTAAGCAGACGAGCTCGGACACAGGAGGAAATGCTGACATAGCCCGCGTGGACTGTGCTTCTCAAGCAGGGTCTCCTACCAGGGTGTGTCTCAAGGTCTGAACTTCACTTTCCCAACAGCAGCCCATTGAAAAGCGAACGCAGATCAGTCTGACTGGTTGCTTTTCATTGATTTGGCTGAATTTACCACTGAAGGGCCAGAAGTCATGTTTATTTTCCATAAAGCACATCTAGGAAACATACTACCCAATGACACCCTGGGATCTTTCTTTGAAGCATACAGAGGAAGAAAAAGGATCATCTGACATATTTTTGCAGGTCATGCTTAAAGACAGGAGTGGGCCAAAAGAATTCCCGAGGTCCTTTCTTCCAAATTTTCTTTGATTTGATTTACCATCTCCTCTGAGCACCCAGCAGCTTGTTCCCCTGGAGGGCTACACTCTCTGGTGATGGTGCCCACAGATGGCACGTTCTCTACCAACTCCACCTCAGTAGTTCACCCTGTATTTGTTGCCCTAAAAATAAACATCATTGTGGGCTCCTTTCAAATCAGTTCCCCCAAGCAGTGGGCTTTGCAGTCTCTCCTATACTTGCAACTTCTAGCTACTTCGTGCTGGCATGAGGGACTAATTCAGCAAATGCCCATCGATCGGCGACACTCCACACCCTGCCTGGAGCTGAACCATCGGGAGTTAGGATGATGGTGCTGTCATAGGCCTCCTCGCCCCGTGTGCTGGGCTGTGTCCCAAGTGGACTTCGGATACCAGATGGGCTCCTTGCTGGTGAGCCTGGTCTGGGGTCCTGCTCACACGGGAGCCAGGTCAGCTCTTGGGAAGCTTGAGGTCTCTCAGCTGGGTGACTCGGCCCCTGGGGATGGTACAGATTTCTCTGCTGGGTGCGAGTTTGACCTCGAGCCTCCTCTTCTCCTCTGTACCAATGTGGCCGCTCCAGGGATGCGGAGACCAACCGATAGCCCTGGGTTAACCTGCTGGACCTGGTCTTGGAGCCCATGGCTGCAGATTTCCGACTGGGGCTCCACAATGTCCCCACACAGGTGAAGAAACCTCTTTCCCTCTTTTCTCAATGATAACTATATTTGGGTGTTTTCTGGTGGCCTAGAGGCACTCTGCTTCGTGTCAGGGAAGTTTTGGAGCTGGGTGTGCTATAATCTGGGGGCCGCCGGCCGTAATTTCCCCTGCCTGCAAGCTCCTAGGCCAGTTTCTTAAACAGTGTGGCTTTGTCGTGTCTGGACCTGACTTCCTGGTTTAAACAGGGCTGACTGCCCTGCCAGGAAAGCCACCTTACACAAATGTTCCCACAACCACGCCACCTCCAGCACACAGAGCCCTATGACAGAGGCTGCTGCTCAAACCTGGAGATGTCTGGTTGGAGAGATGGCTTTGGTCTTCCAGAGGGAGGGGAAGTGGCTCTGAGTGTGTCCCTTTATTGCTGTGCTCCTGGGAGACGAACTCTGCGAAGCCCCTGCCGGGCAGTGGCAGCTCTAAAGAAGGCAAGCACTGGAACCCAGAGGCCCTGGTCGTTCCGCTGAGCATTCTGAAGTCACCGAGGGTGGCAGCAGTGGTTGGTGGAGTCTGGTGGCAGGTGTCCGGTGTCTCAGCTGCCCTGTGTGCTGCCCAGCCTCTCCCCAGCGTCCCCTATAGCACATAGTCCCTCTCGCCCTCCCCGCTCCTCAGCTGAGGCTTTGGAGCCTCCACTGTCAGAGTTGGGTGGAGGTGCAGGATGCAGTGGGGCCGACTGCGCAGTGTAGACCTGTACACACGGGGTGCCGTCTGGACCCGGTCTCCCTTTGCGTGTGCTCTGGGAGCTGTTGGGCCCAGTCCTTCCTCAGGGGTCCAGGCGGCCCCTTCAAGGAGAGCTGACAGTGCGCCTTTGCGGGACCTTCAGGGCAGGCGACTTGACGTGGGTTATGAAGCTGTGTCCTTCCTCCCTCCCCTCCTCACTCTTTGCCCTGAACTTGCTGGCCCGGCCCTCGGGGAGGGTCTGGCGGGCACCCAAGGCCCAAGCATGGGCAGGCGCATCCCGGCCGGTCTGCCAGGGACCAGGATGAGACACGCAGGTATTGATCCCAGTGCATCCTCCCCACGCCCTGTCCTTCCACTCCGTTGATGGGGCCATTTTCTTGGGATGAAAACGTGGAAGGTCCCAGGGCAGCTGGAAATCTGACCCTTGGACTCCAAATGCCACATCTGGGTGTCGGTTGTGTTTTTTCCTCGAGTAAAGGTAGGTTTGGTTGTTTAGGCTTCTAACGAGTGGACACCCACAGGCCCAAGACCAGCTGGGCAGCCCCACATTTCATCCTCTGTCCAGTTTTTTCCACTGGGAAAAGTCACAGAGGTCTTTTCCATGGATAGCCATGTCCCGGGAGCTGGTTTTCCAGGCCCAAGGCCACTGGCGTCTCCGTTCAGTGAGCAGAGTTGCTCCGTGTCTGGGACCGGCCACTGTCATCCCAGCAGCAAGTCCACCCCCGTCCCTTGGCCTCACCCCCGGGTGGCCTGGTGGCTCCTCCTGGTGTGGGAGACCCGGGACAGGATCCTTGGAATCTGAATGTAAGAATCCCTTTCCCAGGGACCCTGAAGAGGGAACTGACTTTTTCTACATGTAGAATTAGGGATAAGTCGGCTCAAGGCAAAAGAGTGGGTCCCACCTGATAGAGAAGTGGGGTCCTGCCCCACGTAGGATCAAATGGCCTCTGCGAATGGCTGCAGCTTTAGGGCTGGTTTATGCCATCGTGGGATCCACATCTTCCAAGTTGCCTCCACCCCACCTGCCCTTTGTTCTTGTACTTTGGTTACAATGGAAGGCGGAAGGTCTAAGACCCGCCTTGCGTTTGGCCAGGTCCCCCAGTGTCTGTGTGCAGGTAGGGCAGGGCCAGGGGCTCCTGGGGTGCATTTCGAGCTAGGGAGGGTCCTCTCCTGCCCCAGCCTATGTGGCTTTGCAGCTGCAGCCTCTTATCTCCAACCAGGCCGTCCCAGGCCTCTGGTAAAAGACCAGTTAAGCACAAGCGGCACGTGCAGTGTAAAACGCCCCCTATCCAGGACTCGTGCTTGTACGTGGCCAGGACTCTGGGCCGTCAGAGACGATGTTGTGTGCAGTGTTCCGGGGATGCCTGGCTTGTAGCTGGTGCTCAGTAAGTGGTAGCTATTTTGGGGAAGTCAGCGTAGTTCCTGAAGGGAGAATAGAGGTTGGGTTTGAACGTTGGCTGATTAAACTAGTTGTGTAATTTGGGGCAAGTTGGTTTACCGTCTTTGGGGAAAATCTCATTATGAAATGGGTCGTATCCCCTCGCAGAGTAGTGGGAGGCAGGACAGGCCCCAGGAGAGCCCGTTGCAGAGGGTCTGGGGCACAGGGGCCAGGGATTGTCCTCTTCCACCCACAGCCCCTCAGAGAGGGTGTTGTCAGTAGCTCACCGTGGAGAGAGAAAAATGGCCAGAAGGCAGCTCTTTCCTCTTTCTTCAGCAACATCGAAGAAAAATATCAGCTTCTCCTTAAAGCAACTTTCCTTAGTGAAGCTTTGTTTTCAATACACTCCCGCTTTTTTTTTTTTGAGAAATTGTGAGAAATACTGGGAGGTGTAGGAACAGGAAAATGTGCTTTCTTTCCTGAAGTGTGTATGTGTGTACATGTGTAGTGCACAGCTACACACATGGCTTTAGTGAACATGAGAGCTGCGACCACCCTGCAGCCGGGCACAGGACGTGCAGGAGACATTCTGCCCCAGAGCTGCTCCTCCTTGGATGTGGGCTCAGCCTGGATGGCCACGATATGTGCTGGT